AGATAAAGATGGATATATGTTCAAATTGGAGAACAATGTTATAAATATCGTATATAATCAAAAGTTGATTGCTTATGGAACATTGTATAATGTCATCTATATTCTTAATCAAAACACAATTCTAAATACTCATCACACTAATAAAAGAAAGCACTCAGTTTTGAATGATGCTTTCTTATGGAATTGTAGACTTGGTCATATTAATAAAGAAAGACTTGGCGAGCTACATAAACATGGATATTTAGATCCATTTGGCTTTAAGTCTTATGATACTTGCAAGTCTTATCTTAAAGGTAAAATGACCAAGACTCCATTTACGGGAATTAGAGCAAGAGTTACAAAACTCTTAGGACTGATATATAGTGATGTATATGGTCCTATGTCTACAATGGCCAAATGTGACTACTCCTACTTTATTACTTTTACTATCAATTTTCAGGATTTGGATCTGTGTTTTTGATGAAACACAAGTCTGAAGCATTTGAGAAATTTATCGAGCATAAAAATGAAGTAGAGAACCAAACAAGCAAGAAAGTTAAAATTCTTCGATCGGATCGAGGAGGCGAATACTTGAACTCGGAATTCTTAGAGTTTTTAAAAGAAAAAGAGATTCTCTCTCAAGTTACTCCACCCATTTACACCACAACTTAACAGTGTGTCAGAAAGGAAGAATCGTGCCCTATTAGATATGGTACGTTCCATGATGAGTAATACTGAGCTACCTTTTTCATTCTGGGGGTATGTGTTAGAAAAGCAGCAGCACACTTACTTAATAGGGTTCTAACTAAAGCAGTGCCTAAACCTCCATATGAGATATCGTATAGGATAAAACCATATCTTAATTATATTAAGATTTGGGGATGTCATGCTTATATAAAAAAGCAAGATCCCAAAAAATTAGAGGCACACTCAGTATTGTATAAATTTATAGGATATCCAAGGAATTCCCATGGATATCAATTCTACCACATCGATGAACAAAAGATAATTGTTTCTCGTTGTGCTACCTTCTTGGAGAAGGAATTTATTAGAAAGGAAATTAGTGGGAGCATGGTAGAACTGGAAGAAATTTTAGAGATACAAATCAATACTGATAATTTAGTAGAACCAGAAAACTCAGTTGTACCAGAAGAACCTCAATCACTCCACAGATATCCAAGGTGATCTCATACACTTAAGAGAGAATATGATTTTCTCGTTGAAAGTAGCATGTTAGATCACGTCATAGATGATGATGAACCTTTGAGTTATCAACAAGCCTATCAGAGTAGGGACTCTGTTGCTTAGCATGATGCAATAAAATCCAAAATAGACTCTATGTACACCAACAAAGTATGGATCTTAGACAATGCTCCTAAAGGGGTGATACCCATAGGTTGCAAATAGTTGTTTAAGAAAAATTTGGGTGTAGATGAGAAATTAGAGACTTTTAAAGCTAGACTAATAGCTAAAGGTTTTCATCAAAGACCTGGTTTGGACTACGATGAAACCTTTTCTCCAGTGGCTATGCTAAAGTCTATTAGGATTCTACTTGCTATAGCTGCTCACTATGACTACGAGATCTGGTAAATGGACATTAAAACTGTATTTCTAAATGGTGATTTAGAAGAGTGCATATATATGTCTCAACCAGAGGGATTTATAATTAGTGGGAGCAGCGAAAAAGCATGTAGGTTGCTTAAAGCCATTTATAGACTGAAGCAAGCATCGTGGAGATGGAACATCTATTTTGATGATGCTATCAAAGAGTTTGGTTTTATCAAAAATCCAGATGAACCATGTGAGATGGAACATCTATTTTGATGATGCTATCAAAGAGTTTGGTTTTATCAAAAATCCAGATGAACCATGTGTGTATAAAAGGATGGTTTTATCAAAAATCCAGATGAACCATGTGTGTATAAAAGGATAATTGGGAGTATAGTATTGTTTCTTACTTTGTATGTAGACGATATACTCTTAATCGGTAATGACATACCTTCATTACAAACAGTTAAAATTTGGCTATCAAAAAGATTTTCCATGAAAGATTTGGGTGATGCATCTTGTATACTGGGTATTCAGATCTATAGAGATAGATCTAAAAGAATATTAGGATTATCCCAATCTAGATACATTGACAAAGTGTTAAAGCGGTTTAACATGGAAAATTTCAAGAAAGGTTTCGTACCTGTATCTCCTGGAATCTTTCTCTCTAAAAAGATGTCTCCCCAAACTGATGAAGAGAGGAAATGCATGAGTCTAATTCCTTATGCATCGGCAGTAGAATCGATCATGTATGCCATGTTATGTACTAGACCAGATATTACTTATTCAATCAGTTTGGTAAGTAGATACCAATCTACTCAAGGAGAAGAGCTCTAGAAAGTGGTCAAAAATATACTTAAGTATCTGAAAAGGACTAAAGAGTTATTTTTAATATATGGTAAAAGTGACCTTCAAATGGAGGCTTTTTCCGACTCTAGCTTTTAGAGTGATATCGATGATAGTAAATTTGTTTCAGGATATTTTTTTACCCTCAATAGAGGGGCTGTCAGCCATAAAAGTTCCAAGCAGGACACAGTAGCAGACTCTACTATGAAAGCCGAATACATTACGGCAAATGATACGACCAAAGTTGTCTGGATGAGAAAGTTCCTTTCAGAGCTGGAAGTTATTCCCACAATTAAAGATCTAGTACCTTTATACTGTGATAGTAATGCTATAATAGCTCTGATAAAGGAACCCCGGTCTCACCATAAGTCCAGACACATTCTGAGGAAGTATCACTTGATCAGGGAGATAGTTGATCGCCAAGAGATCAAGATTGTAAGAGTAGACACAAAAGATAATATAGCAGATCCATTCACAAAGGCAATTACTCGTACATAATTTGAAAAACTTGTTGAGCTATTAGATATTAGATACAACAATGATTGGCCTTAGTACAAGTGGGAGTTTGTTAGATATAGGTGCCCAGCAGGCAATAATTGTATATTGTAACATGACCTATATGAATATAACATCCTTATTCAAAATGATAGCATGCTATTTTGGTCAGATTTATCTGATATTTTAATATAGATAAAGTCCTTCGAATGATACTAGACTATCAAACATTTTAGATATGATCGTAATGAAGAGATCTGATTTGTCGCTAACGTATGTTCTAAAATGTTCCTAGTCGATGAAGTGTAGAAATAGGACATCATCACTTTAGGAAGACTAGTGTATACTCTATTTCTCCTTTGGTAGGATGATGATCCATCTCTTGGATCATTGATGTGAGACATTAAGATATAGTATACAGGTGACTCATTAGTGAATGAGTTGACTGAACGACTCACTGAGAACGTCTAGTTGGTAATTATACTTAACTGTCAAATATATGTTCTAAAGTGATATAGTACATAGTAATCTCTTGATCTGAGGCATGAATGCAATATCTTACATGTCAGTATAGGTATACTTAGACTTTTACCTAACTACAGTTCTCATTGAGTTGTGCATAACGGTTCTTGTTTGGTGCATCCCGAGACATAAGTAGATATTGAGATGCTAAGATGAGATTCGTCTCTCCCTGTATAGGGGGTTGATGTCATAAGATTGTTTGATATAACTATAGCCTGGAAATCCTTGGCCAAGGTAAATAAGATAAACTGAGTGTCAGTTTGATCTTAAAGGTTATGAGTTTAATATCAATAAACACTAATCAAGCTATTAGGGTTTGACAGTTTACCATACCCTAGGCTCGATAGTTTGACATTGTTTGACGAAGAGACTAGACTATACAATATTATCACTGAGTGGTCCTGATAAAATTATGTAAGCATCTTACAGATATTTATCACAACTTATACCCGAGTAGTCTTCATGTGTAGCTAGCACCTCTGTTGTACTTGTGGATATGATCCACTACCGAGTCTTAAGTTAGGCTCTAGAGTCACACCAAATGCGTACTTGAATCCTGTGAAATATAATGTATAGAGTTAAATACGTATGATTGATATGCATATATAATTTTTACCAGATACACATAAACGGTTATACGTATCGGTAAAATTAGAATGCTATATGCTTAAGAAATGAATTCTAGTACTTTTTCCATAAAGTTAACTTTTAGTCAATTGGTTGACTTTTTGGTCAACAATTGACTTTTGGTCAACTCATTGATTTTTTGGGTCATATGATGACTTATTAGTTAATGATTGAAAAAATTATGCAATACCGTATTTATGAAACACCGTATTGATATGGTATTTTCATTTATAAAATACACACTTTATTATACATTGATTAATGAGTCATGAGATGAGTCATTAAGGTGGTATGGTTTGGGCATATGGTTTTAGCATATAATTTTGATTCTTCATGACTCTTTACATGACTCATGAGATGAGTCATTGCATGACTCATGAAAGGAATCATTATATTTAGATGACTCATGGCATGACTCATAAGATGAGTCATGACATATCTCACTCTATATATATGAGTTCTCCCTCTTATGGAAAGGTTAATGAAAAATTGGCGAAGTGGTTTTTTTCTATAAGAGAATGAAAAAGAGCTCTACCTCTAACTAAACCCTAGCAATTTTTGAGTAAGAGAAAGTAGTAGGATTTTGAAGTACCCCGGGATGGATATCTTGTCTTGTGTCTCAAGAAGACTCTGATTTTATCAAGCTCACTTGAAGACTTGGAGATCCACTATAAGGAGGTTTACAACAACAAGGAGAAAGAGCTAGGGGTTGTTCGATCTACCATCGAATCACGCTATGAAAGTAAGCCTTCAAAGCTCTTGGTTGCTCTTTTTTTTTATAGGGATCATGTTAGATTTAATTAGGATGGTCCTAGCTTATTTTTCATGCTCTCTATATGCTTAGTATTATTATACATACAGTCTTCCGTTGTGTATTTTGCATGTATTTAGCACGAATTTCCAACATAATCAACCCCCAGCCTTGGAAAAGTTAATTCATTATCTCAGACTTGGCTTGGGATTATTAAAGGGTACTTCATGGCTTATGGGCAATATTTCTTAAGAAATTCCCCGTTGATAGGCATCATGAGTCTATCGCCTTTCTGGTTGATGAGACGGTATGCCCCATTTGAATAGACTGATTCTATTACGAAGGGTCCTTCCTGCTCAGGATTGAATTTCCCTTTAGTCTTGTGTGTCATCACCATAGGTTGTCTGACAGCTAAGACCAAATCGTCCTTCTTAAAGATTCGCTCTTTGACCTTCTTATTGTAAGCTTTGGAGATTCGGGCTTGATACAACTCGATCTGTTGTTGAGCTTGAAGTCGCCTGTCGTCCAACACTTCAAGTTCTTGAAGACTCAATCGATGTTGTTCTTCATCCGTCATCCTGTTCGCAAGGGCAACTCTCAGAGATGGGATTTGGATTTCTAATGGTAGTACAACTTCGTAGCCATATACCAAAGAGAATGTGGTGGCTTTCGTAGGGGTCTTCACCGTTGTGTGGTAGGCCCACAAACATTCGCTAAGATTTTCATCACAATCACGTCTGCTCTTGGAGACGAACTTCTTGAGGAGCTTTACTATGATTTTGTTGAATGCTTCTGCTAGACCATTGGCTGACGGATAGTATGTCATCAATGCGACACTTTGGATCCTGATTGTCGTAGAATCTCTTGAAACCATGACTGACGAACTAGGTTCCATTATCATGAACCATTCGCCTCGGTACACCAAAGTTGTAGATGACGTGATGTTTGATAAATTTGATCACGTTTGAAGCTTTGACTTCTTTCAGCAGAATTACCTCCGCTCACTTGAAAAAGTAATCGGTCACTACCAAGATGAACCGATGTCCTTTAGATGTTGGCGGAACAATGGGTCCAATAATATCCATTCCCAACATCTCAAATGGCTAAGAAGCAGATGTCGGATGTAGGTTCCCTGGTGGCTAATGAATGAACTCATCGTGGATTTGGCATACGTGATAACGTTTAGCGTAGTCAACGGCATCCGAGAACATCTTTGGCCAATAATAGCCAATTCGTCGAAGACTGTCTCCTAACTTAGCTCCGGGTTAATGAGCTCCACACATCCCGTCATGAGCTTCCTTGAGAGCCTCTTTAGCTTCTTTCCTAGAAAGACACCGAAGTAAAACTTCATAATGTGATTTATGATACAATGTTTGAGAAACCACATCGTAATAGAATCGGGGGGGCCTTTCGTTTGATAGTGGCCGCTTCTTTAAGATTATCGGGAAAATTTCTATATAAAATGTAATCGATATACAGGAATCACCAATCCCTAGGTTCAAGCTCTGTTGAGGTTGCGCAGACATCTTCTGCCATCATATTGTCTAAGCATTCATCTAAAGAATGTTGGATCCTAGAGGGGGGGTGATTAGGGTCAAGAGGCTCTAATATGCAATAAAAATTAAACACAAGCAAACCATAATATTCTAATGCGATTAAAGTAAAAGAGATAGGGTTAGGAATTGTTATCCTTTGACGCGCGATGTGTTAACGAGGTTCGGTCCGTTGACCTACGTGCCCGCTCCCCACTCTCGAGGAGAAATCCACTACACACCCGGTTTGGAAGCCGGAACTTCGTCTACACAGCGATTCCCTCTTAATCTCTCACTACATAGTTGATCTCAACAGATCCCACACCCTCACAGTTGATCTACACAAGATCTCACTCACACAGCAGTAGAAATGATGCAAGACTCTCTCTTTACAAGTCCCTATGGCAAAGAGAAAGAGTACTGAAGCTGGAAAGTGAATCACACACAAAAACCAGCGAGAAAACACAGAAACCAGACTTTGAAAATTTTTCTCAGGAAAACAGCGTCTCTCAGGTTTTTGCAAAAGTTAGGGCAAGTTGAAGAAGAAGAAGTCTGGGTTTAAATAGAAGAGATTAAACATTTTAAAAACACAACTCAATCTTCCCAATTAAGAAAATAATCTCTTCTTCAGACTATTGCCACAGACTGTGCCAATCACGGTTAAGTGATAGCACAGAAACCAAGGCAACCGACTATTTGAAAAAAGCTCTCGGTTAACCGAATAAAATATCGGTCGACCGCCAGAACGTTCGGTCGTCGAAAAAGTGAATTCGGTCGACCGACCGAAAATCCGGTCGACCGCGATCAGCTTTGAAAACTTAGAAAACAAGCAGAGCCATCATCGATCGACCGGCGCGGTCGACCGATAGAAAATCGATATTTCGGTCGACCGCACCGGTCGACCGATGACCTCTCTGGAGCCCAGTGACGAATGACCTTAAGTGCGGTCGACCGGTGCGGTCGACCGCATTCTGATATGCTCCAGAAGTGTTTTTGACTCAAATTAAAATATTTAGAAAATATTTATATGACCTCTGAAAATTATGAAACTTTGTAAAATGTTTTTAATAATAAAAACAAACTGTTTAGACAAAGAATTTTGCAGATAGGTCCTCATACTTGTAAAAAATAGTATTTTGTGAAAAACGCTTAAAAGCTTAAGTATGAAAATGTGTGTGTGAGTCCCAATAGCTTCAAGTGAATTCAATAACTCTTTGCCTACATTCTAATACTAGAGAGAGAATAAAAACTAGCTAATATCCTCACATAGAATACGATCTTTGAGTCTTGATATAGCTTGATTTTGGATGAAGCTTTTATATGAATTTGTTTTTCTTGAAATAACATTGTTTCATCGTTATGCCTCCTCCTTCTTTGGATATCATCGTTGTAGCGTATATTCCATCCAATCCTCCATAAATAGAACTAACAAGCTTGATAAATGAATTTACTATATTTGCACTCAATAAGCCATTAGTACCGTTAATGGTGGTTGTAAAACATCATCAAAACATAAGGGCTAACAATCTTCCCCTTTTTGATGATGACAACCAACCATTATAAGAGCAAAAAATAAAATAGCTTATAGATAGGTGCTCCCCCTATCTATGAGCTCCCCCTAAGTATATGCAACAAATGAAGAGATTTCTCTCCCCCTTTGTCACCATCAAAAATGGGGAAAGAAATGCAAAATGCAAGATGCAACTAAACAAGCAAGCAATGTAGAACTTTCACATAGTGCATAAGCCCAAACCATTTCTTATGCGACAAAAATCATCCTCTCCAAGAGGCTTAGTAAATATATCCGCTAGTTGAGATTTTGTGTCAACAAACACTAGGGATACATCTTGTCGCTCTACATGATCGCGTAAGAAATGATGGCGTACGTCAATATGCTTAGTTCTAGAATGCAAAACCGAATTTTTGGAAATATTTATGGCACTTGTGTTATCACAAAAGATTTTAATATTTTGAAAATTCAAATCATAGTCAACTAAACTTTGTTTCATCCATAAAACTTGAGCACAACATAAGCCGGCGGCAATGTATTCCGCTTCCGTAGTGGACAATGCAACACAATTTTGTTTCTTGGAAGCCCAAGAAACAAGTGAATTTCCTAAGAATTGGCATGTTCTACTAGTACTCTTGCGATCTACCTTACATTCGATAAAGTCGGCATCACAAAAACCATATAAATCAAAAGAGGTGCTTCTTGGATAAAATAAGCCAAGATTAAAAGTACCATTAACATATTTAATGATTCTTTTAACCGCAATTAAATAAGATGCTTTAGGAGATGCTTGAAAACGTGCACATGCACACACACTAAACATGATGTCGGGTCTACTAGCGGTGAGATAAAGAAGACTACCTATCATACCTCGGTATAGTTTTTGGTCCACATCTTCACCACTCTCATCCGCATCAAGCTTAACACTAGTACTCATGGGAGTAGGCGCATGCTTAGAATTCTCCAACTTGAATTTCTTCACCAATTCCTTCGCATACTTGCTTTGTGAAATGAAGATCCCATCCTTAGTTTGCTTGACTTGGAGCCCGAGAAAGAATGTAAGCTCTCCCATCATACTCATCTCAAAGTGATCCTGCATAACTTTAGAAAATTCCTTGCACAAGGATTCATTAGTAGCACCAAAAATAATGTCATCCACATATATTTGAACTAAAATGAAATCATTTTTCCTTTTTCTCACAAAAAGTGTGTTATCAATTGTTCCTTTTGAAAAACCATTTTCAATAAGAAAACTATGCGAGCATACCAAGCTCTAGGAGCTTGTTTCAACCCATATAAAGCTTTTTGAACCCGGTAAACATGATTAGGGAAAGCATGATCTATAAAGCCGGGGGGTTGCTCAACATACACTTCCTCTTCTATAAAACCATTTAAGAAAGCACTTTTGACATCCATTTGAAATAGTTTGAAATTTTTAAAACTAGCAAATGCCAAAAACATCCTAATAGATTCCAACCTTGCAACCGGTGCAAAGGTTTCATCATAGTCTATGCCCTCCTCTTGATTGTATCCTTGGGCAACCAAACGAGCTTTATTTCTAGTTACAATGCCATGTTCATCAAGTTTGTTTCTAAAAACCCATTTTGTACCAATAACACTAGCATTGTTAGGTCTAGGAACTAACTTCCAAACTTCATTTCTTTGAAAATTGTTTAATTCTTCATGCATAGCCAAAACCCAAAACTCATCATTTAAAGCATCATTAACCTTTTTAGGTTCTAGTTGAGATAGAAATGCAACATTACCACATTCACTCAAGGCTTTTGAGCGAGTTATAACTCCTTTTGAAGGGCTCCCAATGATTTGTTCCTTTGGATGATTTGATGTGAATTTCCAAGCTTTAGGTGGTTCAACTTGATCTTGAGCGTTTGTGCTATCCACATCCTTTTGAACTTCTATAGAGGGAGTGTCATTGATTTGCAACAAGTCCAATCCTCCCTCAATATCATCATCATCATCTTTCCTAGGCAACACAACTTGAGAGCCAACATTAGTCTCATCAAAAGTAACGTTTATAGACTCTTCAACAACGAGGCTTCGTTTATTGAAGACCCTATAAGCCTTACTTCGAGGTGCATAACCCAAGAAAATACCAACATCAATTTTGGAATCAAATTTATCATGGTGATCTTTTGTATTTAAAATAAAACATTTACAACCAAAGATACGAAAATAACCAATGAAAGGAGTTTTTCCATAAAAGAGTTCATAAGGAGTTTTCTTAAGCTTTGGTCTAATCAAAACACGATTTAAAACATGGCAAGCCGTATTGACGGCTTCCGTCCAAAAATATTTTGGCAAATCAAAAGAATTAAGCATAGTGCGTGCCATCTCTTGTATGGTGCGATTTTTCCGTTCAACAACACCATTTTGTTGTGGTGTTCTAGGAGCGGAAAACATATGAGTTATACCATGATGAGCACAAAAATCATAGAAAAATTCATTTTGAAATTCACCACCATGATCACTTCTTATTTTAACAACTTTCAAATCTTTTTCATTTTCAATTCTTTTAACATGATTAGCAAATTCTTCAAAACAATCATTTTTCTTAGTAAGAAATATTGTCCATGTAAAACGAGAAAAGTCATCGATAATCACAAAAACATAGTGTTTGCCTCCAAGAGAGGTAACACGCATAGGACCAAACAAATCAAGATGAAGTAATTGCAAGGGTTTAGAAGTTGATACCTCATTGATGGATTTGAAAGAGGATTTTGTTTGTTTACCTTTAACACAATCCTCACATGTGGTATCTTTGATGAAGTGCAAGCTAGGTAATCCTCTCACAAGATTTCTCTTAGACAATTTTGATATTAACTCCATATTTGC